ATTTTTTTGGTTCATGATTTGTGGTAAAAATAATTGGAATATACACAACCTATTAAGCATAATCCGGCATCCTAGGCTTAAAGCATATTAAAAGTATTACTTGTTTCCTAAGTAAAGAAACCCTAATTAAAGTCATGTTAGAATATTTGGGGATTAGGCAACGTAATCATGACTCTAGAAAGATTGAGTATCTTTTCCACATCTCGGTCAAGCAGAACTATGCGTTGTTCTCTCATGAATCGCCTTCAGCAAGGTATAACATTCAGGATCTGAACTCGATGAGAAATCTGTCTCGATTGTATGCATTAAGAGTGGAAGAATTGTCCTACTGCTTGGGTTGGCCAATTCAAGGACCGTCACAACAAGCCAACCATCATGCTCGAGGCTGTGGCGTCTTACGACATATGGATTTGGCATGCATTATTCAGTGCTCCCGTATTAAACAAAGATATCAATATTCTTTGGTCTTCTCCTTTGTTCAATGATGTTGTAAATGGATGGGCATCGAAATAGAGGTACAAGGTAAATGGTAATGGGCATGAGCTAGGTTACTACTTAAGTGATGGTATTTATCCTAGTTGGTTTACCTTTGTGAAAAGTTATTCTCATCTCGGTAGTGTGAAAAAGAAATTATTTTTGCAGAAACAAGAGTCTTACAGGAAGGATGTGGAGAGAGCGTTCGGGATCCTACATGCTCGATGGGCCATTGTTAGAGGGGCTGGAGGATTATGAAATGTGGAAGACATGTAACAACCCATCCCGGAGCTTTTCGAAACAAAACGACATTTTTGTAATTTCACAAAAAATGGGATATTTTGAAATAGGATTTCTTTTGGGCCTTATTTTGTGTGCCCTGTAGGGCCACTTACTTTTGGGTTGTCCTCTGGCCCACTTTCATTTCTCCTTTTCCCTCCCCGTGCTTCACTCTCCTTCTTTCCTTCACTTTCTCTCTTCTCTTTCTCTCCCCCCTCGCTGCATCCTCCATTCCCTGAGGACCAACACACACACACACACACACACCCACCCAAAGGACCACGACGAACGACGACACCACCACCACTATGATGGGTTTCCTCCCTCTCCCTCATCCTCTGTGAAGCACAGAAACATATTTGGAACCCAGTACACCCACCTTTCCGATGAGGTTCGACGGCTTCGAGCTTATTCCCAGCCACGGCTGGACCTGAAATTGGTAAAATCCTAATCTACTTTTAGTGGTCTTCATTTTGGTAGGCAGATAGCATGCTAGGGTGGAGAATCAGAGTTGTACGGAGCTTGGGAGGCTCCGACCTCCTTTTTCGTCGATACCAGTTTAAAACCAGGTCGACCAGACCTGGTAACCAAATAAACCCAAGCCTTTGGGTAGTGCAAACCCAGGCCTTCGGCTCAATGAACCCAGGTCCAAACCTATTTGCTAAACCTAGCCCAAAAACCCTTGGGCCAACCCAAAACTAAACCCAAGCCTAACTGAGAACCAGGCCCAGGTCTAGTTGCCCAGGCCCAACCTTTCTGGTGACCTAAATGGCGAGTGGCGGCGCATGGCAGCTGGGGCCGCCACCTCATGACGGCTCGTGAAGGCGCGTGTGGCTTTGTGTGGGAGAGTTTTATTAATTAGACCCTTTATGTGCTTAGGTGACTTTTTCGATGTCCTGAATCCGTTTATGACGTCCATTTCTCAAAATTCAATTGTTAAGTTAGAGTTTTGTTAATTGGACCCTTTATGTGCTTAGGTGAGTTTGTTAGCGGCTTTTCCATTCTTCCTATTTCGCATGGCTCTTCAACGACAGAGTATCTGTGAGTGGACCCCTTCCAAAATGCATATTTTACTATTAAAAATGCATACATGAAAGCATGATTTAATGGCTATGTTTTATGAAACATTTATGAGTAAATTGGTTTTATGCCTTATGATATTTCATGCTTTATCGAATTTACTTTCTTTGTAGTATATATGATGAATGACTATATACTATGAAGATGATTTAAGATATGATGTTTGAGCTGCTGAGCTTCGTTGAGATGTATATATACTTATATTCTTGAAAGATTATGTTCAATGATTTTTGTGCTTATCTAGTCGCAACTATGTTCTGCTTACGAGCGTATACTATGCCTGCGAGCGTATGTTCTGCCTATGGGCGAATGATCTGCCTATGAGCGTATGATTTGCCTATGGGCGAATGACCTGCCTTCGGGCAATACTGATACAATTATTTATCACTTTATATACGATGTATGTTTTATTAAAGGTTTTATGGCATGCTAGGGTTTTCAGAAAACCTATTACTTATTATGCTATACGAGTTTTCTAAAACTTTAGGGGTTAGTACGTTGATGAATAATTGTTTTAGTATTACTTATATATCAACTTGGTCCACTCATGTTTTGTTTTGTGCCCCCTCAAGACTTAGAATCGAGGCATACAATCCAGGCGTCAAGGCACTTCCACATTGGCATCTTCGAGTCCTCTCAGTGTAAGACCCATTCCTTTGTTCATTCGATTTTATATTATTTCCTTTCTAGTGTCTCGGTTTAGTTGTATGCTCTGAACACGTTCCTCAATTGCATATTCACTATAGTCAAATTTACAAGTTTTATTTATGTCGACTAATTGTTTTAGTTCTCATGCATCCTAATATGGCTTCGTCACCTTTGGATGTCAGCTAGCACGTGCATACCCCGATGTTTGGAGAATATTGGGGTTGAGGGTGTCAAGACCTCCATTCAATCATGATGACGTGCATAATTTTGCATAACATGATTGTGGAAGATGAGTATGTAGAAATTGAAGAAGTAACTAACGAAGATGTGGATGATGACCAACCAACATATGCGAGAGCTATGGCAAGAGATGTTGAATATCTTGTTGCAATTACATACGAGACCCGAAATGATAGGGTCACACTGAGTGAGTATATGAGACGTTTAAATAGAATTCAAGCTCCTCAAGGTCATGACACACTCCGCAAGAATTTGGTTGAGCATATATGGCATCGAGAAGAAGAACGTTGATGATGGATAATCTTAAGTGTATTAATGTGTTGGTGTATTAATGTATTCTTGTGTTAAATTGAAGGCATCTATTGTACATCAAAGTGTGCAACAACAAGTACAATAATTATTGAAGGCATCTAGATTAATAGAAACAATAATTAATAAGCCATAAATTTAATACACACGATAATTAATAAGTCATAAACTTAATACAAATGACAATTAATAAACCACATAAACTTAATACAATTGATAATTCATAAACTACATAAACTTAATAATGATATCCACCATTTGGACTTGGTGGTGGACTTGGGATATAGCCTTGAGATGAATCATCATCTTGAAATATACTTCTTGTGGCATGCCTTCGCAAAATTTCCTTTTGCTTATCATGTAAGAACTGCTTCCTCTCTGGAGTGTATTTGTTGAGGTCCTCCATCATGAAATTACATTTGAACATTTCTTGCTCCTTATCCCCTTCGTGCGTAATGGCCAAACACATTTGGGTCGCTTCTTCCTCCTGAGAGCTATGGCTTTCAGTCAATCTTGCAAAAACGGTAGCAATTTGTGCACTAATCAGATCTTGGGACTTCCCTTTTCTCTTTGCTTCCTTTTGCTTATCTCTTCCCAAGGGCCTTGCAAAAGAAGAAGTTGGGGTCAATTCATCAACACCTTCATTGACATCATTTGTATGTGTGGCTTCATTATGAAATAATCTTCCCTATTGTTGGTCCGCATCGGTTCCCCACCTCGAACAATCCTTGAGGACGTTGATGCAACTTAAAAGCTTGATTTTTTGGTGTAGTTCTGGTCTTGTAAATTTCCATTGCTTTGTCACCCTATGCAAGAAATACAGAAACATAATTAGTTGCAAAATAATATTATGTACATGACAAATAAAATATCAACAAACAAACTCACAACTTCTGTGGCGCTCCTTTCACTAGCCATGTCAACCACGACTCTCTGCAAGCTTTTTTCCATTAAGTGCACACTTTGTTCGTAACCTTCCACCGATCGTAAACACCACTACTTCCCTTCAGTCGGCATTGGAGTTTTCATTGAACTTATCAACGATTTTACCCCACAACCTTTTTATTTTGATTCGTGCCAACGACACCATCTTCACTAATAGAAACCCATTCCAAGCATAAAACAATATCTTCCTCAAAGGTCCAATTACGACCTCTAATATGCTCTTTTGCCATCTTGAAAAATTAGGAAATGGGAAGAAATGGTAGAAAGAAAAATTGGAAGAATTGTAGGAGAAAAGTGAGTTTTGTGTAGATGTTTGAACAAGTACATAGGTATTTATAGAGTTTTTGGGTGAATTTTGAGTTAAATAACTTTTTTTTATAATTATTTTAGCCGTTGGATTTAAATTTGGGCAATTATATATATATATATATATATATATATATTTACCATTAGATTTGATTATATTCGATCTCAGCAGTTGGATTCAATAAATATATAAATATAAATACCATTAGATTTGATTATATTCGATCTCAGCAGTTGGATTCAATAAATATATAAATATAAAAAAAAAAATTTGAATGTAGGCCTGGATTAATCAACGGCCTGTTTATGTATGCCGTTGGATTAAAAAGAGTTGTTGGCTCTCTGGTGCAAATGGGCAACATGCCCGCGTGGGTGGGGCCATGCCGGTCTCAGTCTTGGCGCGTCGCCCGCATGGGGCCCGTCTCCTAGGGGAGTTGGCGCTCAAGCGTCGGGTTTCACTCGTAATGGTGGGCTCACACCATTTTCTGGGCTAAATCTGGGCCGGTTTCTGGCTTTTTTTAAGGTTTTAGGTTTTAGATCCAAATTAGAATTCGGGTTGGAATGGATATGGATTGGGGGGAATAGAAGGGGAAAAATAGGTTTTAGGCCATGGGTTGGAGTTGGCCTAAGGGGGAAGGGGTGGGCTTAGTGTGATTCAAATTTGACTCTTGCTAAAATCGAACCCAAAACCTAAAAATGAATAGCAGTACACCGTATTAAATGTCTATCATTGGCCATGGTCCTGCTGCCACCTGTGCACTTCCGCAACTGCTTTTGATGTGCACAAGCGCTGCACATATCCACTCTGTCTCTTCAAGCTCAACTCGTAGTCTCTGTGTCCTCCTGCTGCGTAAGTGTTCTTTTTCTCTTCTGTAACTAATAATGTTGCTATCTTTTTCTGCTTTGTGGGGCGTTTTACCTCCGTATGATCGGTTGGAGTTTCTTATTGGTTTTTTCTCGTAAGAATTTCGAATTAAATTTGCTTTTGCTGGTTCCTCGGCCTGCTTTTGTGGCATTTTAGGGTTTAAGGGAGCACAGATGGCTGGGTTTTCTCGCATGTTTGTTCCACAGAGGGAATTTTTTGTGGTCTGTTGCCACTTTTTTGGTTTACAGTTTTGGGTATGATTTAACGCGTTTTATTTTATTTTTAAATTTTTGGGTTTGTTTTCTGCATTCATTTTAGTTAATATAATCCGAAGTAGTTTGATTCGAATCGATCGAGGTTGAAGCATTCTTTAGCTTGGCTCAGTTTTCTATTGTATTGCGTTAGTTGTATTGATAATATTTGTTTTGATTACAAGTGATATTGTTACTCTAACTCTAAATTACACGAAGGGGAGTGGGAGGGTTTGAACTCGGAATGCAGTGGGTTGAATAGAAAGCGGCAATCCACCACATGCACTGTTAATATTTGTTGTGATGGTTGAGAATATTTTGTTCACCCATCTTCTTTGTTTCACCATTATTTTGTATTAGAGAGTGGAGTTTTTTTTTTTTTTTTTTTTTTGGGGTGGGGGAGTAATGACTAAAAGTCTCATTTTTTAGGAGTTACAATGGAAGTTGGCACTGTTGAGAACCGTGGTCATTTAAAGTTCGCAAATTTCATGAGACGTGTAGTCGATAAATGCTTGAGTCTCTCTCATCAATGGAACTGAAATTCGGATAACGCGTGGTATCCAAATTCTGTATTTCTGAGGGCCTTTTGATAATTTATTTAGTTTTGTTTTCTGCTTTTTCTTTTGTTTTGGCCTTTTGAAGGATCCATTGATTATGCAGGATATCAGGAACTCGAGAATAAGATACAGCATGTCTTGCAACTTGTGACAAACTAGTTGATTAGAAAAGGCACTAATACCGGTGGATGTGATGGCATTAATTTCTGAGTTAATAACTAACACAATGATCTTGGTGACTTGGCCTTTCTCAGTTTTGAAGCTCTTATGCTTGTTTGGCATAAAGACTGCTTTTATTGTCATTCATGCATGGATGGAGTTGGTGAGGGCAGCAGTCTGCTTCCAAGTGAACATTTTCTTGAGAATCATGATATGGACATTGGCACTTATATCTCTGCCGGGGCGAGTTTTGACTACCTTACAGAGGGAGAGGCAGGTTGACTTTATCTGCTTTCAGTGAATTTTACTCTCCTATTAAGGAAACACATATATTGAGCATGTCATTTACAAAGGAAAGTAGACTGGCATGTTGACGTGTAATTATATGTAGTAACATCCCATTCTCCCCCATTGTGTTTTTGTTTTGGTTTAGTTTATGAACGGTTTACTATATATTTTTGTTTGTTTATTTGTATGTTGTTTTGTTGCTCGTGTGTTTGGTAAGGTCCTGCTATTTGAATTAAGGATGTCAAGGATGATGGGTGGTTATGATTTGTGTTCTAGCTGGAGACTAGGATAATAGCTTTTGTTTGTTTACTACGTCTGATCTAGCTTTTGATGATGTTTATTTCCAGCTGTTGGGCTGTTAGTTCTTTTTCATCTGTTTACGCTTCATCTGCTGGATGGTTGTTTTCCTCATTGTATTATAGCTCCTAAATTTCATATTCTCTGAGAATGTCTTGGCTAGAAAAATGTTGTTATGTAAACAGCTGGAAAAACATTTACTCGATATGCAAATTGAGGTGGAGAATCTAGCATTGGATAGAAAAGAGCTTCAGGAGCATCTACATACAGCCATTAACGAACGAAGAATGATGGAGTTGATATTAGCAGAACTTGAAGGGGAACATGACAAGGCCATTGCCAAAGTTGAACTACTAGTGAGCGAGGTAATGACTTTTATCATCCCCATGCATGCCTTGAGCTAGTGGCCAAAACTGCATTCCACTACTCTGGCTGCACTTTATGTATGTATTTCTTACTATGCTAAATACTTCTAATTTATAACTTCTCTAGTATGGTTTGCGGAACAAGAGTTTCTTGTGTCCTCTGGCTCTGGTGTTTGGCATGCCAATATCTAGCAATCCAGAATAAGGACATGCCAATATGAATGAGTGAGCCTGTGCCCTTTTATGATGAAACGGTAACATCATTGTTGATTTGAATGTCTATTTCTTGTAATGATTAAATTTAAAAATTGATACTAAGATCCCCCTTCTTAAGAAAGTTCATTTTGATTAGAACCAAAAGAATTATTATTCTTGTGGTTACCCTGGACCATCTAATTCTTAGATCCCATTTAACAGTTATCCGTGAAAAAATCAGAAAAAGTCGAAAACTGTTTGATCCTTTGATTATTATCGCGAGTATCTCACTGTTTGCCATAAACATTGTCAAATATTATGCGGTGTTAACTTTTGAAAAGTTGGGTCGCTTTTCTTCTTATACTTGTAAGTTCAATGATTAACCACATACAGATTAAAAAACTTAGTGCGCTATTACTTTTGAAAATGTAAAACAAGTAATGCTAAGTACACTGCACTAGGGTTAAAAAAATGTTGCTTCTGAGTTTAGTGAGACCATCAAACAGATAAGTGTATTATCCCTCAGTTCTTAAACGAGACACAACAAGAGGCGTGTTCACTCAAGTTGCTTGCAATGCAAATTTAGATCTGTCTTTCTATACATTTGCATTATTATGTCCCATTTCAATTATACTTAACTGAATACTTGACCCTTGTATGTGATTCGGCAGTTACACGATCTGAGAACTGAAAATCTGCGGCTAAAAGAAATTCAGGGGTAGGATACTGGAACAACAAAGGTCGAGATCAAACAGGCAATGCCCAGAGTACAGCCATTGGGATCCCATCACTGAAATCCTGTTATGATGGAAGTGGATTCATCCTTCAAGACCTTCCGATGCACAAAGATACTCGGGGGATGAATGCAAAACTAAAATGGAGTTGCTCAAAATCTTGAGAAATGAACCAATATCCACTGGACCTATACATCCTGTTATGCCTGAAATCAGCCTCAGAAGTTTAGATATGAGTGAAGTTATCGACCATCGAAGGGGTATTGCAGTCAAACAGACTCTTTTCAGTGCAGCGTTATCACATGTGGTTGGAATGATTGTTTGGCAAGCTGAAGACCCTTGCATGCCCCCTTATCGTGGCTCTCTTCTCTGTGGTTGGTATGTCATTGAAGAGTGTGGTTCAGTTTTTCTCTACCATAAAGAATAAACCTGCTTCCGATGCGGTTGCTCTCTTAAGCTTCAACTGGTTCATACTGGGAACACTTACGTACCCGACATTACCGAAGGTAGTGCATACGGTGGTTCCTGTGGCATTAAATTTTGTCGACCGAGCGTTGAGCTGGCTTGGTTTCTCATTTTTCCTAGCTTAAGTCTGTCTCTTCATTTTCATATACGGACGTGTACTATATATAGACCCTGGAATACGAAACGGTTCTTTGTATATACATCGTTTAGAGAGCTTGTATGGTAAAGGTGCCCTACACTATTTGATTTTATCTTGAGCATGCATTGTTTTGTTAAGTTCCCTCGAAACAGAAGCAATGAAACCAGATAGTGATCTAGATAACAACGCGGGGGGCCAAATGCAGTTGATAAGTAACGCAATTAAAGGAATGATGCACACGATTAAGTGATTGGATTAAAGTCTTTGTGTTGTGTATGAAATTATCAGAGAAACGGGTCAAAAGTTTACTTCCAACAACATCGATATTATACCCAACTCGGTAATTACCACTTGTATAATCCGTCGTGTGTGGGGTTTTATCACAAAAGATCTCAGTATTAGTTTGGATAGAGTTAGGATATTTAAACTTCTCTTTTTTTAGAGATACGGTCAAGTGGGATATTTCAACATTATGTTTTGATGATGAGTTTGTATTCGTTCTCCTTCAGCTAGTGACGTGTCTGGCTTTGACTCCCAATCTCAGTCAGTTAACTGTATAATTGGCGTCTGAAAAGGAGCAGAGGAGATGGTATTTTACCTTGCAACTCCCCACATCAATCTGTGCTATTAAATCTAGGAAGAGGACTCGTCGACTTGTCAGTACTTAGTTATTCCTTGGTTTCACAGAATTGGCAATGGCAAAGCGCATTTTACTCTTGAAAGTAAAAGGTCACAAACCATTTCTAGCTTCCAAATTATATCCAAATTAAGGCCTCTTTGAATTATATATGTACAAGAAGAGGTGTGAGATTTGAGTGAAACCACACAATAGTAAAACTATAATAATCAAAGAGACTTGAACATAAAACTTCTCACTTATAAGTGGATATGAATATCACTAGATCGTAGTTTTTATTTTTTTATTTTCTTATGTTTTTTTTTATTTTTTTATTTTTGACAATGATAATACAAGTAAGTTAAATTGTTAGTTGGTAAAAAAAAAAGAATCGAAAATGCACTAAGATGCAAATGCATACTTGCTTTTCACCATTATGGTAAAGCGTCATCTGTAGTTAATTGTAGTGTTAAAAATGACACTAATCTTTTACGAGATATTTTCAAAATAAATGGGTTTGTTGGCCCAACCAATATAAATAACAACATAAAATGCTAGAATCAAATTAAATAAGAAATGCTAAGGAGACTTTTTCAAAATGAGAATTTTCATGAATTTTCTATCACCTCACAGTTTAATATTAATTTCATGCTTATATTATTAAATATTGTGCCAAAACATGAGGTGCTAGAGAATCCATGAAGAGTTTCCATTTTCTAAAGAGTCTCTTTAGCATTTTTCAAATTAAATTGTCTATGAATTTTTTTTATTTTCACTAAAAAATTATGTGTGGTTTGAGGTTGAATTCTCATTTTAGTAGAATGAGAATCCTCTCTAGATCCTTTTTGTGAGGATCTCGGGAATTCTCAAATTGTGTTTGTTTATCATACATCGTGCGATCAGTTTTCGTCAAATATTGTTCATGTTTAATTTTAAATAAAAGTATTTAAAATGTTTAATTTTAAATAAAAGTATTAAACATGAACAGTACTTAATGAAAACCGGCCGCACGATGTACGATAAACGGACACGATTTGAGAATCTTCAGAATCCTCACAAAGAGGATCAAAAGAGAACCCTCATTCATTTTAGTACTTGATTAAATATAACTGTTTTATACCTTTTTTTTTGCCGTACATATTTAAGGTTGATTGAAAAAAAAAAGATTGGACCTTTTTGTATTTTTATATATGTTGGCACCACACCAATAAAACCTTAGTTTCTGCATGTTGTGGATACTAATCTCTCGGCATGCGCTCATGCGCATGCGAAACTTCTTGTTTTAGTCATTGGCACTTGCATCCTTAAAGATGTGTTGTGTTAATTATTTTTTTCCTCATACTGCATTCTAAAATTAAAATTCAACGTACAATTGCAAATAAAAGAAAATAATACATAATTAAGTTGCATGTAAAATGCTGAAAGAAAAGATCCTTGCATGCGCGAACCATGTTCAAAGAGGTTACAAAAGAATAAAAGAAGAAATACAGTAAGGAACCAAATAATGGAGTAAGAGAACAGATTAAATAATTAATCTATGCATTAAGTTGAAGAGTAAAAATTCATATATATCATATTTTCCTTACGGTATCACAAAATACAACTCAGTTCCATCGCATATGTTTGAATAGTTTATCTTATTAAAAGTTACTAAAAGATTGTGTCAGAATCGGCCATGAAGGAATCAGGTACTGGATCTTCAGTTCTAGGAGATATCTCAGATGTATCCACACTCGGTCTCCAACCTCAAGCTCCAGACGACGAGGATGAAAACGTGGAGCCCAGTGAGGAGGAAATATCGGCCAATGAGGATCAAAGGGACACCATGGGCCCTTCAATTATGGACAATATGGAGATTAGCATGGTGATTCTTCTTCATCCTGAATTCTAGTTCGACAACGGACAACCGAATTTAGTCGATGGAGATATGGAAGTTGAAGTCCTTACCATCTAAGGATTGGCGTGGCCGTAAGTAATCACACTCCTCAAGGGATGCTATATTTATTTCCTAGATCTCTGGGATTCTTTCGGTTTAACAATGATTCTACTATCATAAAAGTTCCTCTCCTCAACTGGTATAAATACACCATTCTAAGGTTCATCTCTGGTAACGCAATCTCTACACACTTATCCTCTTACTCACTACTTGAGTCTTGATATTCTTACTAACTTGGCTGTCGGAGAGCCTTTCACCAGCATACCCATCCCACCCCTCTGTGTTGATTTCTAGTTCAAAGTGATTGTTTGTATTCATTCATATTGTAACAATTACAAGAGAGGGCTCTATATAGAGAGACCGAGCAAGATTAGCAGCTAAAGACAAAAGACAGCCGCAAGCCATTGAGATTGGCCACTAGTTAAACCAACTAAACTAGATACAAGTTTCTAGGTAAAATATGAAAACCAAAATTATGGAGAAAGATGCATGGAACTGCTGCAGCACAGTATGGGAAGTATGGAGCTACAGATGCAGCTTTATCTCATTCACCAAATGACATAGGAATGCACAGTGGCGACTGCAACTCACATGAGTAGATGAAGTTGCAGATGCAACTTGTACCCTGAAACTGATGCTGCATATGACTGAGCTACATATAACTGATGGTGCAAATGCAACTAGAACCTTGACCACTGAAGACTTCTTTCAACACGCCCCCTCAAGCTGGATCAAAGGGGTTGATTGATCCAAGCTTGCAAAGCAACCTTTGAAACCGAGTAGAGTCTAGGGTTTTTGTGAAAATGTCTGCCAGTTGATCATGACTTCAAGTGAAGACGGTTTCGATCACTTTGGCTTGAACTTGGGCACAGATGTAGTGACAATCCACTTCAATGTGTTTTGTTTTTTCGTGAAACACCGGATTCGATGCGATGTGCATGGCAGCTTGGTTATCACAGTGCAAATACATCGGTTGAGAGCTTGAAAAACCTAAGTCTGTAAGGAGACTTTTTAACCAAATAAGCTCACAAGCAGTGGATGTCATCGCACGGTACGCAGCTTCAGCACTTGACCTAGCTATCACAGCTTGCTTCTTGCACTTCCATGTAACAAGGTTGCCTCCAACAAAGGTACAAAAACCTGTGCTAGATTTACGATCAAGGGCATTACCTGCCCAGTCAGCATCGGTGTAGCCCATAATGTGAGTTGAACCATTTTTCTTCATGAGAATACCCCTTCCCACTGAGCCTTTGAGGTACCTGAGAAGTCTTTTGACCATTTCCCAGTGAATTGAGGTAGGAGAATGCATGAACTAACTAATAAGACTCCCTATATAAGCAAAGTTTGGTCTTATAATAGTAAGATAAATGAGTTTCCCAACTAATCTTTGATAGGTGCTGAGATCAGTTAAAGGTTCTCCTTCAACATCTAACTTGAGCTTGCTAACCAAAGGAGTACGAGCAGGTTTGGAGTCCATCATTTTTGCCTCATCAAGAAGATCCAACACATATTTTCTTTGATTTAAGAACAGACCCTTATTAGAAGTAGCCATCTCAATCCCAAGAAAATATTTAAGAACTCCCAAATCTTTGATTGCAAATTTGTGGTGAAGGGATTGCTTGAGAGCATTAAGTTCATCAATATTGTTTCCTGTAATGATTAAATCATTAACATATATAAGTACTATGAGTTTACCAGTTGAACCAATTCGAACAAATAAGGAAGAATCAACATGGCTTCTTTTGAATCTTGCAGCTTCCAAAATTGAGCTCAGTTTGGAGTACCATGCACGAGGAGATTGCTTGAGTCCATATATGGCTTTGTGAAGTTTGCATACCATATCAGTTCCATTTTCTTGAGGATGTCTGGGTGGTAATCTCATGTATACTTCTTCTTCGAGGTCACCATGAAGAAAGGCATTCTTCACATCCATTTGGAACAAGGGCCATTCATGATTAACAGCCGCAGATAGTAGTACTCTCACAGTGTTCATCTTGGCAACTGGAGCAAATGTCTCCTTGTAATCAATACCATATGTTTGAGTAAATCCTCTAGCTGCTAGTCTGGCTTTGTGCCTTTCAATTTCACCATCAGAGTGAAATTTAGTCTTGTAAATCCACCTACTTTCCACAGCTTTCTTCCCTTTGGGAAGCTTGACAACACTCCATGTATGATTATCATTCAAGGCCTTGAGTTCTTTGTGCATTGCTTCTTGCCAGACTGGATTGACACTAGCTTCTTGAAAACTTTTAGGTTTAGTTTCATTAGACAATAGACTAAGGAAAGATGCATGAGATGAAGACAAATTTTTATAAGTAACAGCTTGAGAGATAGGATGCCTTGCAATATAAGCCACATACTCTTGAAACCTTGCAGGTGGTTGCCTATCTATGGTAGGGTTTCTCCTTGGAGCAATCACAGCTTCTTGGAGTTAATCTTGAGTTTGAGAAAGATCAGTGAAATTTTCACAACTCTCATGAACATCGGTATGATTAATAGAGAGCAATTGGGAGCTACATTCAGGCACTTTAGCTGGAGTGGGAAGTGGAAAGGAATCCAA